GGTTTTCCAAGCTTGTTTCTAGGAAAAACAATATAGAGAAGGTCAGCAATGAGAAGGTGGAAGTAAGATTTTGTAGAAAATTTACCATCACTGACTAGCTTCCACATAATATTGTCGTCTCTTGAAGGATGGATGAGAGATTTTTGCAAAACCAAGAAGAGAAGGATCCATTCATTAGCTCCTAATGATTGAGATTAAGGAGGATAGGGACATTCTACTGGGTTCTGATATTGTACACAAAAAACAGTCCCCAATATTGCCCTCCACGAATCTGCTGCTTGCAAATAGGCCAGTTAAGTACTCCTTGAGAGGCACCCCTTCGCACCAATGGTCATACCAAAAGCTGCTTGTGTTACCATTACCCACCTTTTATAGCTTTGAAACCCCTTAGCCCTGTTCCATCAAGCCATAACAAGATGGACAACACCTTCCACCTTGAATCGCATATTCTTACATTTAAATGGTTAGGTGCCACTAAACACCATTGTCAAGACAACTAAGGGAGTGATCCAAGAAGATGCAGGGAAGGGGCAATTGTTCCTTCTCATTCTTGATAATATTTTTTTACTAAAAAGATTAGCTCATTGTTTTGCCAATTTATCAAATTATTGCATTAGCTAACAGAGTCTATTAAGTCTTAGCAGATTCTTTTCCTCATAGAGTAAATATCTTTGGAATTAGGTCTTAACAAAATATATGGTTCCTTGCTCTGAGAAATAAGCAAACCAGAAATGACAGCTGTTCTTTCTCGGAAAGAGCAAAAGCTGTTCCTGTCTCCTAACAGTGAAACAAAAGATTAAATTGTTGAAAATTCTAAAATTAACAGAGGAATCTTCAACTCTGAAGAAGCAGCAAGCCAATTTCGGAAAAAAAAAAGCAGCTCAAATATTCATTTTTTTAAGAGGGAAAGACAAACTATATGAAACTATGTTGCTCCAATCAAAAAGAAAGAAACAAAACAATTGCTATCACAAACACATTCGAAAATCAGACCTTCTTCACACTCTGTAACATATTTTCTATCCTGCAGCACACCTTGCCCCTCCTTTCCTTCCCACTTCTCAATCAAGTTCACACCTCTACTGCACGGTCCAACCTCCTTTCTTGGTCACAGACATCACCAACTGCCATAATACACACACCGGTTTTGGTCCCTCTCTTCTCCACCACACACAAAACCACCATTTCATCACTTTACTCTCACAAACACCCAAACAAGTCTCCCTCATAAAATCTCAGCCACCATCATAGTCTTGCCAAATCCAAACTGTCTTCCTCTCCCTTCCCTACCGCACTTATGATCCTCTTGTACCAAACAAACCTCTCCAAGCCTTTAAAAAAAGTAGAAGGCAGAATAATTAATAATCAAAATTGACACTAAAAGCTCATTATTAGTTTGAATGTAATGTATACATTTGTGAGTTCAATTCAAGCTATGAGGATAGATAGCTTGGTGCATTCGGTAATGTTGATGAAGCAATAATAAGCTGAAATTTAAGGTTTTCAAGGTTATGTAACCTTGCTGAATCAACAAAAATTTACAGGCTTGGCCTCATGTTCATTTTGAAGGTTTTTTCTTGCTGATGAGAGTTTTTGAGTTTGGGTAGCTTAGGGTTTGAAGTGAACTACATAAAGTTATTATAGTAATTATATTATTAAATATTATATATATGCTCTTTTTACTTATTAGAATTGGATTTTGGTTAAAAATCAATACTAGTTTGATACAATGGTAAAGTATAAGCAATTAATTGTTTTAATTAAAATATCAAGGAGCAATTTGGTAGAAATGATAACATACGGGGTTTATAATAATAGCACGAGAACTATTTACCATTTTGTTGAGATCCTAGAAAATCATAAACAGTTGCAATAGTTGATAAGAATTCTTATATGCTCGAACTGTTACAATGGTTGATAAGGGTTCTTATGTACCATTTCATGTGTATAAATATTAGTTGTAAATCAACCAAAAGATGTAATTTTTATGAAATAAAATCATAGTTTATTATTCTCTCACTAAATTTTCTATCTTTCTCTTTTCCCTCTCTACTATTTCTTCTATCTCTATATTTATCTCTTTCTCTCTCTAATAGCCTCTCTCTCTATATATCTCTCTCTTTCTAAAACATTCTTTCTTTCTCTCTCCATTTCTTTCTTCCTCTAAAAACCAGTCTCCCTCTCTCTATCTCTCTTCTTCTCTCTCCCGGACTTAGTTTCTTCTCTCTTTCTAGAAATTTTTTTTTCTAAAATTCTAATTTTGTCTTGCACTTTCTTAATTCTAAATTCTAATCAATCTTTCAAATTATCTTGAAATTACTCTAAAATCATTCAAACTTTAATATTTTTTTCAAATTATGGGTCCAGTAAATCACATGTTAAAACCGGGTCCTAATACAGTTTGGGACTGAGGAATAACTATGTGACTTTTTTGGTAAGACTACATTGTGAATCAAGTAGGTGCACGTTGTGAATTCTGCCCATTTTAGGTTTCTCTTAACTTGTAGTTGCATATCTCATATGTTTTCAGCATTTATCTGATTTTCTTCTCTGTGAATATCTTCTGTGCCACAGGCTGACACAATCTTCTTGTCACCTCCTTGGGGAGGACCTGATTATGCTAAAGTAAAGACATATGACATCAAGACAATGCTTAAGCCACATGATGGGTATCTCTCTTCATAGGAGTTTCATATTATACAAAGTCTGTTAGCTTTTTTTTCCCCCAAATATCAAATTTTCTGGTTCTATCTGTGCAGATATCATCTATTCAATGCTTCTAAGAATGTTGCTTCCAGGATTGTCATGTTTCTCCCAAGAAATGTTGACCTCAACCAATTAGCAGAACTGTCTCTATCTGCTTCTCCTCCATGGTCATTAGAGGTGATGTTTTATATAAATATATATGTTTCTCTTGCTTTCTTTATTTTTCTTAAAAGTCTATTGCTTTCTGTTTACAGATACTTTTGTTGGCTTTGTTTAATGAACTGTCACGCCTGCTCAACTCTCCAAGAGAAATTGTTTTCTCTTTCAAATTGTACTTTGTAATGTCACTTGGAGGTGCTTTATGCATGTTATTGTGCTCTAGAGTGAAACAGTTGGGCTAAGAATTCATTTGGATGCTTATGGATGTACTATAACACTATAAGTTTATGTAGTATCCTGCCTTACAATTGTACTCATAATGTTGGTGACTCATCCATTTCTGTGATAGAAATTGAGAATTTGACCTCATAGTATCCAAATGCAGATGCATCATGTGCTTCTCTTATCATTGCTCTTCAGTAGGTAATCTTCTTCTGCTTCATATTCCAGTTGGGTATTTGAGCAGTGACCATGCCAAACAACTAAGATTAGTTTTCCTGGTACCAGCATATTTTCCTCAAATTATTCTTTCTTTTGTTCTACACTACATTCTTGAAGCATATTTCTACTTTTTGTTCCCTTTTCTTCCTTCATTATAGGGTGTCTTTAGTCTCTTCATATATAGCCATAAATTAATGGCCTTACCATTTAGAAGTTTCTGACCCAGGCTGGCAGGTGTCTGTAAAGCTGATTCTGAGTCGTAAGATGATCATTAGTTTTTTATTATCTTCTCTCAATTGAAGAAATCTATTTATATTCTTCTATTTGCTAAGGGTTGATGTCTATGGTCTCAGGTTGAGAAGAACTACTTGAATGGAAAATTGAAGGCAATAACTGCTTACTTCTGCAGCATGGCGGTTAACGGCGAAGGGTAGAAATCAGTTTGATCACATCTAGGATTGGCGGAAGGGATTTGAAGTCTCTCTCTCTCTCTCTCTCTCTCTCTCTCTCTGTGACAGTAATATCACACGTGGATGACCATACTAACTGCCACTGGAAATTTCTTTCTTATAGTTTTATATCTAGTCTAAGTTTTCCACAGCCATGCTCTTCCAAGAGGCAGAGGAAATGTTGGTATTAGCAAAACATAGAGTTGGGAAAGACAGAGAATAGTATGTATGGGAAGGTGATGTTTGCAGTTATCTTAAGGTTTAAAAAAAAAAAAAAAAAAAAAAAAGAAAACGAAATCTATATCTCGGCATCTTGAAAGTCTACTTCACATGGGTGAAGGAGTTGGTTATTATTTCTGGTGGGACTGATCATCCCTGGAGCATGCTGATTGTTCCTCACTTTTATGGTTTTCATTTAATGTATAACTAACTAGAGGAGAGCTTTGTATATGTAATGTTGCATTCGTGTGGTTGATTTAATGAGAGATGGTTTGAGTTGAAAAAGTGATTGATCAAAGCTGTGTTTATGGAGCTACCTAAACTCCAAAGTTATGTTTGTACTAACATTTCAAATGCCTAATTGTTTTTTCTCGTCCATTCTTTTATCTTCAAAAAATGCTGCATTTCCAAATTGCTTGTTGAACTCTCTACTCACACTGAAGCAGAGTGGAGTGGATTATCTTATGGTTAATAAAATTAAATCTCGTAATTATTATCGTTATTTTTTTCTATTTTTACTGTGATTATTTCATATATATATATACTTTTAGAAAGCAAAATTTAAAAAATTACTAGTTAATTTACCTGTCAAAAATGACAAATTGCAGTGTTGATTTGAAAGCAAGTTGACTTCGTCACTCACTCACATGAGGTTGTGGGTATGATGGCGAGGAGCTGCCCTGTAATAAACGTTGTGGGGCTCTTTCAGAAAGAAGACCTGACATTGGAAAGCAACTCAACGCACCTCAATCAAGGGTTTAAATTGAGTTGGTACCTACTGATACCATCTCATTCAAATGAAAAGTTCTTATAGTGTTTGCCACCATGAATTTTATACAAATTGTAAAAAGAAAACAAAAATTGAAGTCACAAATCAAGTGTATACATACGAACTGACCCTAAAACTTCCCTATGTATGTATAGCCTTCCCCATCTTCTTCTTCAGTCTTCATCGTATATGTATTTATATGATATAAGGTCAAGACGTACCCACCACATTACTTTATTTATCTTCGCACGTCCGTATTTGGCATAAAATCTCAACCATATTTCATTTAATTATTTTTTAAATTCAATACTCTCAAAAAAAAAAAAAAATCAGGCATGGCAACGTTTCTCCGAAAATATTTAAATTTACTTTTTTTTTTTTTTTATATTTGTTTTTTACAAATTTTTTTTAAAAAAGTAGTCGTTAAAAGTTTCTTTTTAAATTAAAAGAACTAAAAACTTTTAACACATTTTTACAATAAATGTTTTGTAAGTTCTTTTATACTCAAAAAGTAGCCTTGATTCAAATTTTCATGTTCTTTATTTAAATTAATATTCATATATTTATAATATAATTTTTCCACAAGGCAATAACGTACAAACTATTTATTTAGCATTGACCGTAAAAAAAGGGCACGGTGAAAATAGTAAAGGTCAAAAAAAAAAAAAAAGAGGTGAATGGTGGGTCCACTTTACAGCTGTTGATCTGCTATTTTTTTTTTATATATTTAATTCTGAAATTTAGAGATGTGATAAATCATTTCACGCAATAAATACCCACTGACACCATTTACGCCCGCCGCTCAAACTTTTAGGAATATTATATGCTTAAACAAAAATTAATACAAACACACCCACATCAACCATTCAATTTCTACCGTGGCAAATGAAATTTAAATTAAAACACGAGTAAATTTCATGTGGGTTTCATCTATATATATATATTTTTTTATACGAGACATCATTTGACTTTTTACACCATTTTTTTTTTATTTTTTGTTTTCAATTTTAATTTATAGTTCCAAGTGAGTAAAATAAAATTTTCTTAAAACAAAGAGATTTGGAAGGGAGTGATTGCCGTTAAAATGTCTCAAGCAAAAACTAAAAGCAAATAAAAGATATGAGGTGGTTGGTTGTGTTAGTAGCAATCATAAGTCCCAAAGTCAAACTCCTTATTTAATTTTTTTTATTTTTTTATTTTGGGTTCCTCATGGATTTTGATTTTTGATGGCCGCACTACTCGTGATGTTATTTCATTAATACATATAATTAATCATAATCACCCCCCCATTAACTCCTAAATCAAACCCAAAAACATCATTTAGTCTCTTAAATTCAAACAAAAACTAGTGCCTCTTTTTTGACCACTTCATTTAGATAAGTAGTTGTATTTATTTAAACAAAATAATGATAATATATGTCATTGTGTATATTTTATGACTTCAAAATTGTTTTGTATTATTGTTAATTTTTTTAAAAAAATTTTCAAAAGAATAATTAAGTAAATTAATTAGGTAATAAAAATTTAAAATTTGCTTAAAGTTTAATATTTTAATATTATTATAATAATTTTATTTCAATATTAATATTTATCTATGTCCATTAAGTTATTAATTAAAATCAAATTTATAATTTAGGATGATGTAATTTTGTACAAATAAACCACAAATATGCAATAGGGCCAATATTTAGTATCATTAAGTACATTTTAAGTAATTAAATCTATATACATTTTGTTACTTTTAAAATTTGTTCTATCGAATCTTATCATATCCGATTTTATATATTATGATATAAGATTGGAAATAGAATTTCATACTGATTTCTACAAAACAAAATCTTGTAATCTCAACATGATGATTCATTTTGAATTAGAGTTGGCCCATTGGAGAACCTACTGTCCTTTTCCATGGAGTCAAATTTCACGGTCAAGGCAATTCACGTGAAAAGCAGCGTCACATAGAGGAGACTCCATGCTGGTTATCAACATTACATATATATATATATATATATATATACACACACACACACACATATGTTCCTTCTCGTTTCTACCCGCCATATAATTTTTTGTACAATCAATCTCTCATTGAGTGGGATGAGAAGAAGCAAAAGCTGAAAAGGAGAATGCCGGAGATACTACAAAGCGGCTCTCTGAGATCAGGGTACAGAACTCGTGATGCCAGTCCTGACTCTGTCATTTTCACACTTGACTCCAACTTCAGTCTCTTCTCCTCTGCTTCTGCTAGCGTTGATCGCTGCTCCTTCGCTTCTGATGCTCACGATCACGACTCTCTTGCCTCTGAAATCTCCCTGGTACATTTTTATCTCCCACGCTAATCCATCGCTGGTTATTTCTTGTAGTGTATATAAAGATCAATGCCAGAAGACCTATGATGTTTGGTGCTTCAGTTGAGTTTGATTTTAGCTTTTGAACTTGCCATCATTCTCCGTTCTTGACCTAATGTTGCATTTTGGTGACCTGTCACTTTCGTCTTACCCAGTTGAACATTTTTGTCTCTTTCTGTTTTCTGTGCATGAATGAGAAGCGGAGTTGTAGGTTTCTCCTAACTCTCGCTCTCATGGATTCACAATCAAATTCTATCTGAATGTGGGGTTGGAAATCGGGATTTCTAGATTGAAAATGACGGAGAAGATGATAGATTCAGTCTTAATACTTTTTATAAATGAAAACTTGAAAGTAGAGGATTTCTTTATGTGGGTGGTGTTGAAATCTGATCGGTTTTAGTTGTGTATGTGAAGCATTTGGCAGCACATGATCGTGATCAACACGAGAACTTGAACAGTCCAGATCCAGATCCAAACAAACACGCAATAGTCCACAAGCACAGTCGCCTTTCCAAGAAAGGAGAGAGAGTAAAAGGTACACTAGCTTGATTTTCACCTAGGTCGTGAAACAATTTTTTTTTTTTTTAAAAAAAAAACAACAAAAGGAAAAGAATCACAAGGGAGAGACATTTAGAGCTACAAATTTGAAATTTCAAATCCAAGTCACGCACTTACTGTTACCATCTACTCTATGCAGCTCAAAAACAAAACAATGATGCCAAGACAGAAGAGGAGACCCAGCCCTTAGATTCGGCAAGAAACTCATTCTCTTTAGCTCTTAAAGGTACCTCTCTCTCAACCCTCAAAAACTTAAACAAATTCACCTCCTTGGATTAAGCCTTTGTTCTAGCTCAATCTTAGTTTGCCCGGAAGTAAGAAGCTATTAATTTGAACCAATTTCTTTACAGAATGTCAGGAAAGGAGGTCCAGATCTGAAGCACTGGTGAGGAAGGTAGACAGACGAAGACCTGCTTCTCTAGATCTAAACAATGTCACTGCTTCTTCCCCGCGGTTGGGAGCCGTGAAAAAAAGCTCTGTTTCAACCCGGAAGCTTGGTGCCTTTCCCAGTCCTGGAACTCCCAATTACAGGAACGCGAGTGTCGGAATGCAAAAGGGTTGGAGCTCGGAGCGCGTACCGTTGCATGCCAGTGGTGGAAGGCGGCAGGTGGGTGCTGCACTGTTGCCTCTAAATAATGGAAAGGCGTTGCCTTCCAAATGGGAGGATGCTGAAAGGTGGATATTCAGTCCCGTCGGGGGAGATGGTGTTGTTAGGCCCTCGTTTGCAGCGCCACAGAGGCGGCCTAAATCGAAAAGTGGTCCGCTTGGGCCTCCTGGGATTGCGTTTTATTCATTGTATTCACCTACTGTTCCCATCTTTGATGGGTGTAATATTGGAAGTTTCATGCCAACCTCTCCATTTTCGGCCGGAGTGATGGACACAGAGAGAATAGGATGCACTTCTGGTGGCCATGATGGAGGCTTCAGTGTCCGGACAGAACCTTGCATGGCCCGTTCAGTTAGCGTACATGGCTGCTCTGAGATGCTGACCCCACCATCATTGCCTTCCCAAGGTAAAGATTTAACTCTTTCTGGATTAGGAATCAGATTCTTTTCACAGACTCTCAAAAATGGTACTGATCTACTCCTTAATTAGAACAGTTAAAACTTTCCTTGTGTTTTGTACTAGCAAGAATTGTATTGTGCACTGTTGAAACTCATGAACTTCATTCTTTCACATAATTGCTTTCTGTTGTTATGTTATTTTTGGAAGTAAAAGGGTTTTGGAGAAAGATGACTACTAGATATGATGACTAATACTCTCACTTCCATGCATCTGCTGATGTCTAAATAAACGTACAGATGAGAAGCAAGATGGGGACAATGATTCAGCCACCGACATTTCTCGCGCTGTTTCTAGGAGGGACATGGCAACCCAAATGAGCCCACAGGGAAGCACCAATTCATCTCCCAGTAGGAGGCCTTCTTTTTCTGTCTCCACACCCTCTGTCCTACCTATTGTAGAATCACAGAGTATCCAATCTGGTAAATCAGAGGTGAGGGATGTGCAGGTTGATGAAAGGGTTACTGTGACTCGGTGGTCCAAGAAACATAGAGTCCGAAATACTAGGAAGAGCTCAGAAATTGTTGATGATTGGAGAAAGAAAGCTATTGATTCTTCATCATGGGATGTAGCAGAAACGGCGAAGGGCCTTTCCAAGTATATCTTCTGTTCTTAAGCATTACCATTCTTGTGCTCCTGTTATTTATTTGGCAAGTTATTAGGCCGTAAAACATCAAGTCATAGTTCTCACTAAATAAAAAGGTCAACTCTTAAAATTCCCAGAATGTGGAGTTTCACCTCTAAATTACTTCTAGTCCCATTCAATAGAAGCTGAATTCTCTACTTGCTACTAAAAATGCTTCTCTTTTTTTTTCAACTTAAACTTATCTTCTCTAGGAAGGAAGGTTCAACTTGAACTTAAGCTTCAAGCCATGTGGATTTTATTAGCATTTTTGTTCTCTTGCCACATTCCTCCCATCATTTCCGAAAATAGCCTTTCCCAATTTCAAGCCATTGCCATTAATCCACAATTCTAACTTATAATTCAGATAATGTCTTTGAGCCATTTGGATGATTGAAAAGGACAAGGAAATTAACGAGTGTCAATGACTACTCATACTGCAATCTTTTGTCCATTTCAGGGTCAAAAGAGAGGAAGCAAAAATTACTGCGTGGGAGAACCTGCAGAAGGCAAAAGCTGAGGCTGCAATACGGAAACTAGAGGTTCCTTTTTTTTTTTTTTCTTGTTTCTCAACAAGGTTCCAAGCATGCATGTTTAGAATGGTGCTAACTGATAAAATTCGGTGCAGAAAATGATTCTTTCCTTTTTTAGATTTTCATTGTCTTCTTCCTTTAACTTTTTGTTGTGGACACAGTAAAGAATGAAACCAAGAGATACTCTACCAATTCCGGATGTGTCTGATTATGAACTACTCCTTGGAAATCATCACATGCACAACAAGGTCTAATTAGTCATCGTTACAAAAACTAAACTAGAACCTGAGAAAACTAATATAAAAGTGATAGCTCCTTGCAGCAGTTGCTGCAGTTTTGGTCAAAAAGCTGGGCACCAATTATATCAGTCTCAAACTCTTTTCTCTCTCTGACTGCAAATTCTGCTGGCTGTCTTTAAACTATGAAATACACATTCTTATTTAAATTAACAGAAGATTATTCTTATTTAAAATACCAGAAGAAGGAAAGCAAGGTGATGGACGCCAAGGAGAGCACGAAGACAAAACATATAGAAATTTTATTAAGATCCACAACCTTGATATCTTGGATCTCAATAATCAAAACATTATCCTAGTATTTGAATAGTAGTACTTTATTTATAGACACTAAATACAAATAAAAATAGAAAATCTAGTAAATAGAAAAATAAGCTAAATAGAAAGAATTAAGAGAGTATTTGGAAACAGGATATTAAATCTTCCTATTTCTTTTATTGTAGAACTTTCTGAACGTTTTATTTCTACTAGAAAAGGAAGTTAAATCTTCCTATTCCTTTTTCAGTGTAAAGCTTCACAAAATGTTTATATCCCTTTATTGGTTATGCATCAGATCTCTTATCACTGAAATATGCCTACTTTAGGATTACAATATCTAGCAATCTGTAATGAATTCGTAACATTTCTACAGCCATCCATGATGCACCTGCAATATGGATTGATAGTGTTCTTACATGTGATAACCTTGTAAGCTAAGCATGTGTCTTATATATGCTCTGTGAAAGTGGAAGGAGAAGACTATTATCTCAACCCTATTGACCTAAACATGCATTTCAGATGAAGCTGGAAAAGAAAAGATCGTCATCAATGGATAAGATTATGAACAAGCTAAGATCAGCTCAGAAGAGAGCCCAAGAAATGAGAAGCTCAATGCTAGCTTATCAGCCCCATCAAGTTTCAAAGGCATCTCACAAGGCTGTATCTTTTGGTAGAACCCGCCAGATGGGTTCCCTGAGTGGATGCTTTACCTGCCATGCTTTCTAATGCCTCATGTAGACATCTGTAGCTGCACTTCACTCACTGAAATACCTGGTAATTTCTCCTTCTAACAGAATCCTGATTCATTTCTTTCTAATGGTTCTTTAATAAAAAACACAAGGGTCCATTATGTCATGTTTCCAGACATATATATATCCTATTTGTTGCTTCACTTGTTGCGTGCATGAAGTTGAGTTTTTCTACAGAATAGTTGCGGGTTATACATTCGTACTGATTGCACTCATTTTCTCCTAATCTTCTCAACCTAGACTTCCTTCTTTGGATTTTGTTGAAACTTGGTAGAAAATCACCCATACTTTTCATTTGGATGGTTTCTGAAAATGCATCTTGCTAACTACTTCCACGGGCATTTTAGTGCTTCACTTATGATTATATAGCTTTGAATTCCCACTTGATACCCAAACTTCGGTTTTGTTTATTGGATATATTTACTGCATGAATTAACCTGGCGACAGTTAACATTACCTTCGACATGTACATACATTTCATCTGATCCCATATCGGGTTATTATTGTAGATTGACAAAGTGGAGCACAAGATAAACATTGTACAGCTGAGTGCATATACCATATGGAGAGATTGGAATCCTTGCAGTTTTGATCGGTATGAAGAACAAGTATCTGGATCGAAGATCTCATATAAGCAATACCCTGTTGCAGTATTCCTGGGGTTTAGTATCAAACGTTTGACTAATAAATCTTGTATGCATGCATTTTACATATCTATGTCCAATTTTTTTTTTTTTTTTTTAATCATGACAGTTTGCCATAAAAAATCATTAGCTTCCCTTTCATAATTAATACTTATATGAATGATAAGAGTTATATATTTTGTGCAATGGAACTGTTGTGTTTTCCACCATCCCTTAGTTATAAGATGCTTTGTATGGTGCTGTAAACAGTCTTAAATCTATGATACCATCGTGGCTGTTTAGATAACAACAATGTGTATCATATTATTTTGTCACTAAAAAGCTTTTGTTATTATTGTTGTTATAAGATGTTCGAAAAATTAATTACATATCAGGTGATAAATTAATCACAGTAATGAAGATTTAAATGAAATATCAAGTGTTATTTTGATCCTTCTTTTATTGACAAGCCAGAAATATATTTTCATACTGTAGGGTTAAAAAAAATGAATAAACCTGATACAATTATACATCCAACATAGAAATTTTAACTAAATTATACATATAATATCAAGTTGTAATTAGAAATAAAATATATTTGAACTAACAAAGTAAACAAGACACAAACACATAAGAACAGAACTTACATATCTTACATTAGACTTTCTTTAAATACTCTCTTAATCTTTCCACATAATAGTATAATTAAAATGTCCTCATTTCAATATCACAATCCCAAAAATAAAAAATTCACAATAACTTTGAAATTTTGAAAAGTAAACGAGAGTTCTAAATTCTAAAGTAACATTTATAAGTGCACAGAGTATTTTATTTCCAATTAAACCATACAGTAACTTTCAAGGTTAAATGTTTTAGATGTTAAAAAGTTAGAAAGACCCTAAGCGGGTAGCATTCACATAATCTTGGGCACAATGATTTGCTAATCCTGGGGTTACTAATCCAATTACCCTTATCACTCTCAAAAACCAAGTTTCCTTATAATCTGGACCCTTAGCAATCGGAAGGATGAAGCTCCTTATGAGCTCCCAAACTGCGTTTACCCTCTTGGGTATGGCCCATAACAAAGAAAAGTAGTTCTTGTTTTCTTCCTGCCATGTCACCTGCATGCATGCATGCATGCCAGTTATAATGCTATTTACTTTAGGAAAAAGGGTAAACTTTTTTCAGAGAGAGAGAGAGAGAGAGAGAGAGAGAGAGTACCTTGCAATTATAGAAACTATCAACAAAGAGGGAAGGCCCAAAATGCTTGAAAAACAGGGTTTTGTCATCATAAGGTAATCTCGGCACTATATCATTACAATACACACACCTGCAATATCTCACACTGTACTTTCTCAACTTCTCCTCCATGAACTCTCCAAATTTTTTGTCCCCAACCCTTGGCTGCCCAAACGTGTAAACCCCATCTAGTCTCTCCAGCAACCATTCCTCCTCGTGTAACATTAACACTGCCACAAACAAGATTGCCAGTGACCCACCCAAGCTATGCCCTGTGACTATAAACTTGGCCTTGTCATTATCCTGCAATATTCGTTTCAAGATCTGCCTGATTGAATAGTAAGCAAACGGAGGTGAGTTTGTGGGTCGTTGAATCTCCTTGGGCCATCCACGGTCTTTTTGTAAGCCGAGAGCTTTCATAAACCCAGCATGGATCTTACCCACATTCTCTATCTCAAACCACGAGATGTCCACGTCTGTGCTCCACCCGTCTGCATCAAATGGGTCTGTTCCTCTGAATGCCACCACTATGAGATCTGGCTCACTTTTTGTGTCTCGGGCTATGAATGCTTGTGTTGAAAATCGTTGCTGATAATCTGCCCCAAACTTTTTTCAAGTTATTACTAGCTTTTATCTTTGATATTAAAATCAAATTTCACTTTAGTTTAACCATCAGAGTTTCCTGAATTATTTGTTTGCTAATTCTAATTAATAATACAAAGAACTTTAATATTCGTATTGGGTTCCCTGAGTAGATCCACTATATCCTAAAGTCACAACTCTTAATTTTGATTTTTCTTCTGCATATTCTCCCTATGCCCCTTAACATCTATCATCATCTTTAACCTATGGCCACTAAACGTGACACCATCTACCCTCTTCGTTGCTGCCCCTGCTTCCTCAATTATAACCATCCCTAACAAAGCCAAATATTTGTCCCTCCATCTCAAAATGAAATTTGTAATAAAAATATAATTAATTTGTAGCTTTTGCTTAAATGGGATTATGATATATTAAACATAGACTTCATATTTGATCTTAAATAAATTAAATATATGGGATAATGGTGTATCAAATAGGACCTTTTCAAGATCTTAAAATTTATAATTCAAGTTTTTATTTATTAATTAAAATTAGTTAAAATTAAACAAGTTGAAAAAGTGATTATCCCTACTACAGAAAAGAATTAGATAGTATGGTGTGAGGTTAAGTATTAACTTAGCTATTTACGTAACACTTTTACACGAAGTTGACAACTCCGAATTCAAGTTTCGATTGTTTCATTACATAGCCACAGATAAACTTATTATTATTCAACTTCTGTCAATGCATTATGATAAATTTATCTATGTTGACAAAGCTACCTACAATTATGTTCCTCTGAAAATTTGGCCCTAGTTGGAATAGAATCCATAATTTCACCCTCTCGAGTCATGTTATGCTCTTGTAACATCACACATTAACTTTTGCCTATCGTAGCTATTATTACTCCAAACATGGCAAACTGTGACTTTTCATCTAAAGTTTTTTCCAAACTAAGACAAGACCGCTCGAGTTTTGTAACCAGAGGCTTTTGGTATGAAGTTTCTCTTGAGAATTAATCACAGAGGAGGAAGAGGAAGCTACCAAAAAAATTTCTTTACTACTTCAGGATTGCTGGTGAATCTAATGTTCATGCTCCATCAATTAAGTGAAGTTATATATACATATATATATATGGGTGTGTGCGTGTGTGTGTGTATATATATATATATATATATGGGTTTCCCTCATCAAAAAACTGGAAATCCCTTCTCTTTATCATTTTACCACAGATTTTATAATTTCTCTGCATATTTGTAATATATTTTCCCTAAAAATATCCACAAAATGAAAACGATGATCACCTTATTCAGGTCATGCACGTCTAAATTCCATATTTTAGACACGAAGTTCTAGATTATGTCATTGATCCAGCTCGCCAGGCAAAATAGATTATGATTGACAGGATTTAAACTAAAGTTATAACTATCCACCCTCGATTATCTAAAATAATGCTGTACATATATATTATATAAGCGCCAACGTGATTAAACACCATTAGTCTATTACTTTAAAGAGAGAAACCAACTCTACGTAGGTGACTTAACCAGTACTATTATGTTTACGTGATTTATAAATTATTAAGTTAATGCCGTAAATTATTATATTAATTATTAAATTACTATATTAGTGTTATAAATTAGTATTATAAATTACTATATTAGTATCACAATTATAAAAATTTGATTAGTTGATTTTTTTATGTAATAATTTTTAATTCTTTTTATATTATGTAATTGTATTTATATATTACCTATGAATAGAGAAGAATAATCATCCATGAATTATTTACAAACTTTATTGTTTCACATGGTATCAGAGCGTTTTTCCTAAAAAACCTCTTAAATCAAATCTCGTATTTCTCTTTGTAAAATCAAATGGCTGAACTAACTCCTTTCATATCCAACAACTAAATACCACCAATTGTCATCCATCAAGATAACTCTACATTTCCTATTAGTACCATATTAGATGAGATAAACTACTCATTATGGTCTCAGCTTATGGAGATGCGAATTGGTGCTCGAAATAAAGCTGGTTATCTTACTGGAGAAAGGAAAAAAACTATACCTAAAGACTTAATTACAAAACATGAGTAATAGAAAATTAGAAAGTAAAGAATTGGCTTATTGACTCAATGAGTCCATCCCTCATGCAGCAATTTATTTGTCTTTCCACAGCAAAGAAAATATGAGAAGCTGTATCAAGAACTTTTTATGACAGATCAGATTAAACCTATTTATTTGAGTTAAACCTGAAGACATTTTCTACTACACAAAATGATAGATCATTGTCTATTTACTATAATGAACTTGTTGCTATTTTTCAAAAAATTGATCATAGAATTGCCTCTTAAGCAGAAATAGTCAGAGACGTTGTCTAGTTGCATTCTGTAATGGCTAGACTTCGAGTTTATATTTTTTTAAGTGAACTTGATTCTGAGTTTGATCAAGTTCGTGGAGAAATCTTGCGAAAAGATCCAAAACTAGATTTAGAGAGTGCATATGCATATGTAAGAAAAGACTACCAACAACGACAGACAATGGGAGGTTCTCGAGTGATCTTAGAAAGCTCAGCCATGCTTGCCAACCGAAAATTGCATGGATCATCCTCGACGTCAGCAAAAACTCAAAATAATCAATTTATTGGAAAGTCCAACAATTTTATATGCAGCCATTGTGATGAAACAGGTTATTCTAAATAACAATGCTATGAAATCGTTGGTTATCTTGAATAGTGGGATTTCTTAAACAAACCACAGAAAAAGATTGCAAGAAAAGATATGATGATATCGTCTAAGGAAGTTGAATGTAATATGGAGGATAATTTGCAGCCTATAGCAAATGTTGCTCACCCAAGTATTATTAATCAAACAAATATTTTTTCTACAACTTCTAAGAATATAACTTGGATTATTGATACAGATACATCTAATCATATAACTAGAGACTCTAGCGAGTTACAATCCATTCGCTTATCTTCTCAATTCGTTATATCTACAGCTAATGGAAGTATAACCCCTATTACTAGATAAAGATATACTATTTTATCTACTTCTCAATTCGTTATATCTATAGCTAATGGAAGTACAACCCTTATTACTAGATAAACATATGCTATTTTATCTAATACACTCACCTTGGATACAGTTCTTATTGTCCCATCTCTTGAATATAATCTTTTATCTGTGAGTCAAATTACCTTATCTCTTGATTGCACAATAACTTTTTGGCCTTTTTTTTGTGTATTTTAGGATATTCTGACCTGAAAGATCTTGATTATGATATTAAACGAGACAAACTCTACTACTTGAAATTGACAGAAAATGGAAAACAAAAAGTTAGTTGTGCATGTCAACTAGTAGTGAAGAGAAAGCTTGAACAACTACATAATTATGGTATAGAAAATTGTGGCATCTTTCTTTTAGATATCTTCAAAAATTGTAACTATATTTATTTTTGAACTTAGATGTTTCTGATTTTTATTGTGATATTTGTGAACTGGTTAAAAGCCATCGCATTCCTTACTTACCCAATATGAATAAATGTTCTGAACCTTTTATTGTCGTACACTCTGATATTTGGGGACCTGCAAAGATTCCTTCTCTGTCTAAAGCTTTATATTTTGTTACGTTCATTAATGAGTGTACTAGAATGACCTGGGTGTCCTTACTTGAGAGAAAAAGTGATGTTTTCACAGTTTTTCAAGCATTTCATAGTTTGGTGGGAACTCAATATTAATGTCAGATTTCGTGTTTAGCAATCTTACAATTAAAAGAGCTTGTTGATGCAAAGTTTAAAA